CCGGGGCTGGAGGTGGTGTAGGTGGTGGCCTTGGAGGTGGTGCTGGTGGGGGAGGAGGTGGTGGAGGGGGAGGAGGTGGAGGCGTAGGTGGAGGATCAGGCCATGGAGGTGGCTTTGGTGCAGGTGGAGGTGGTGCTGGCGGTGGTTTAGGTGGCGGGAGCGGTGGTGGAGCTGGTGGAGGGTTTGGAGTTGGAATTGGCGTTGGCGTTGGAGTTGGTGCAGGTGCAGGTGCAGGCAAGGGATCTGGCAGTGGTAATGGTGGCAGACATTGAACTTGAAAACAATCCTTGGCAATTTGAAAGTGTATGAATTAATGAAAGGAACGTAGAAGATTGCAAGCTTGAAGTCTAATCAGGCACCTAATTCTGTCTGTGATGAGAGTTTTTCAACTTTCTTGTAGCTTTGGTCCTTATAAAACACTATTGTCGTTGTAATTTGTTGTTCTTCCCCGATTAATTACGATTAACATTGAGGTTTATATATGCAATGTACCTGAGAAGTTAATACTGTGTTCCAAAGCAATCTTTTCTTCTCTCTTTCTCCCTATAACCGGTTGTTTTCAAAATCCAAGTACCATTCAAGTTCTTCAATGTCCACAGACTAGCTATCCAGGCAACAATTAACAGAGAGACTTCACTCAAACCACATTTTACCTTTGCAGGGAATGGAGATCAGATTTTCAGCATATATTTGTGACTTTATATTTTCAAATTCCATGCTATAAATAATACTCAAGGAGAAGTGCCCACCTCGTGTATTTTCACCCTTTGGTCAAGTCCCAACCCATCCAATAACTTGGCTCCTAAGTAATTGATCCACCGCCAGCAGTACTGTTGTCACCACTCCTCCTCCCTATCATTATCGTGCACTTAATTTGAAGTAATTTACAAGAAGTTGGGTTTAGAGATTGTTGCTTAGTGAGATCAATCCATCTTAGAGAGGAATGAGAGAAATTCATTCGCTCTTCTTCTCTTTTCTTTCCTTTCCTCATTTTACAGTACTCTCATGGTCAGGTTAGTATATTCTTGTCATGGAGATGGATGAAGGGTTCGTAATAATTCGTAATTAGTATGTAATAAAAGGTTTCATTTGAAATAAAATATTTAAATAAAGATATTGGTTGACTTTATTTTTTTTAGAATGAATGATATTGTTTTTAACTTTTTGGTAATGTTTGATGACGGTCTCAGTAATGTAAATAAGATAATATTTAATTACTGTCTTGAGATAAAAAAATAAAAGATAAAAATAAAATTATATTTGATTGTAGGGAATAAACTAGTGGTTATTTATATATTTATGTTTGTTTATAATAAACAAAACATAATAAAATATAAAATAATTTATTTTACTTTTAATATATATTCATGTTAAAATTACATATTTAACAAATAATTATATATTATTATTTTTTTACTTTAGTTTATATTAAATATTAAATTTAATATTATTATAATAATTATTCTTATACAACCCAGACTACCCAGTGAATCGATCTTGGGTTTAAATTGGTCTCGCTTTAAAAGAAAAAAGAAATAATTGACCATATCTGACCTAGTTAAAAATCCAAGTTGGCTCTAAATAAAACTTGGATAAAAAAGTTATAAATTTTTTTTAAAAAAATGTTTTTTTGAACAAAATAATGTTGTTTTCATTTTTTTTTTTTTAAGAAGTGGATCAACTCGGGTTGACCTTCCCAACGCGTGGTCTAGATCATGCCCCAAGTCAGTCCCTGAGTTAGGTTTAAAAACTATAATAATAACATATTTTATTCTTACTTTGATAGGAATCAACCCTCCTAACATGTAATCTCTGTCTTTTCTAAGTTGATTTTTGTATCGAATTTTACAATTATAATATTAACAAGTAGTGTGTTTATATATATATATATATATATATCTTTTTTTGAGCTTATTTAAATTTATTAGAAGTTATTTTTATAAGTTGACATGTATAAGAGATTCTATGAATTAATTATTAAAAAATAAAAAAATTTATATTTTATGTTTTGAAGCTTACTTCTTGCGACAAGTATTTCATGAAATAAAAATTAAATTACATAAATCAAACTTTTCAAAAAGATATTATATGTAAAAATTCAAGTTTTTATGTATCTCTAATTAAACTTGTAAAAACAAGTTAAAATTTTAATTGCAATATAATTTTTTATTTTCATAATACAAATTAATAGACATATATCTGCTTTTATAGACAGCGAAGAATTAACTCAAAGTTAAAATTCCAATCTAGATTTCTAGTCAACCGAATACCTCACAAGAGAAGCTAACTTTACTATATCATCCAAGTTTATTCCTACCAATAAGCTTACGTTAAAGTTCATTTCTAAACCATCTCATAATACTCTTAGCATGAATAAATAAATTGTAGTCACAACGTATTAAAAATCAAAATGTCATCTGCGTATCGAAGATGACTAAGGTATTTACCTTTCCCGTATTCAATACCTTCAAAATAACCAGATACAACGCTTTTTGAAGTAGCACAGACAAGCCTTCTGCAAAAATATCAAAGAGAGAAGGAGAAAGAGGGTGACCTTGTCTCAAACCTCTTTTGTCACTGAATTTGATCCATTAAACAAAACTAACAAATAGATTAAGGTCATAATAGTGAAGTCCTACACCACCACCTCCTCCAGCTCCACCAATGCCACCTCCTCCAGCTCCACCAATGCCACCACCTCCAGCTCCTAGTACTCCACCTCTTCCACAACCAAACCAGTCACCATAGTTCTTCGACCAAAACCACAGCTATCATCACGAAGTCTAGTTTTATCTAGTTTGTCATTGGCAAGAACCATAATTGCAGTCAACTGAAGAACAATGAACAATAAAAGAAACATAAAAGAAACCCATTTTGCCACTGCAACAATTCTGTTACAGATTAAGTGACCGTTTAAGAGTGAGTAACTTCTTATTTTCGGTGTTTTTTATTTAAAAATAAATTAAAAAAATTTTTTTTCAACGTAAAACACTAAGAAAATATCTCTGCAATGTTCGCTCTCTCTCTTCTTTGCATAAGGAAAACTCCCTTATTCTGGGTTTATCCACCAGCGAAGTCAACAAAAGGAGCTCTAATTAAGTACTGGTGGTGCAAATTTATGTTACTCGTTGGGACCATTGGGAGAGTCCCGGAAAACATTTATTGAGCAAATCAAAGTCAATTATTTATCAAAAAATGAAGGGACTAAGTGGAGAATAAGTGATCATTTGCTCCCCAATTATATATATGAAGATGAAGCCATGGTTGACCATCATTTGAGCGTTAAATGTTTCCCGCCACTCCCCAACGGTACCAACGCGTGACATGAAACCCACCAATTAATACCTTTTTCGGTTGACTTGCCAAATTGGCCACTGGATAAAACCTATATAAGGGAGTTTTTCCATGCTAACAGAGCAAGCAAAACATTGCAGAGAAAGCTTGTTACTAGCTAGCTATTTAACTTTGCATAAACAGAAAGTTGCATTCATGGCGGCTGTGTCTTCAAAATGGCTTTCTTTTCTTCTACTTTCCTTGTGCATCGTTCTTCATTTGAGTGCTGTCACTCTGGGTGATGACAAACTGGACAAAACTAGGTTTGGCGACGATAACTGCAGGTTTGGTCGAAGAGGCTGTGGTGGTCGTTTTGGTGGTGGACGTGGAGGGGGACGAGGAGGTGGTGGAGGTTTAGGTGGTGGTGCTGGAGGAGGTGTTGGTGGGGGAGGTGGTTTTGGTGGGGGAGGTGGTGGTGGTGTTGGTGGTGGGTCGGGTCATGGTGGAGGCTTTGGAGCTGGAGGCGGTGTAGGTGGCGGGCTGGGAGGTGGGGCTGGAGGAGGCGGCGGGGGAGGAGGTGGTGGAGGTGGTGTTGGTGGGGGGTCGGGTCATGGTGGGGGCTTCGGGGCAGGAGGCGGTGTAGGTGGGGGTCTTGGG